ATGGTTGCACAGCTTCGCTTTGAGGACCTTGCATGGGAATTGTCACAGTGCAGCCTTTTTAAGTGTTGCTGCTTCTGCCACGACTCCTCACTGTTTTTACCATGTTGAACAAAGCAAACTTCTTGATCGACGTAGAAATAACCTGGAGGGTTGGTTTGTTTGTTTGTTTGAACAGCCTTTCTCAGTGCCTCCTGTGCCTGCTGAGGTATTTTGAACAGGAAGGGATTTGAGATGACTGCAACTTACTCTAGAAAAATTAGCATAGGGGGATTCATTGTTTCAAACCCACTTGATAGTGAAAGGATACATTTTACAAATGTTGGATAATTAAATTCCTTCTGTGTCTGTCTGACTTAAAATGCTGGTATTTGGCATCTTAACGAGATTTTTTCCTACAGAAAATGCAGAAGGCGTGGTTTCTCCTCATCCACATAGATGCACCTAACCTCAGTGGTGTCGCCTGATTTGCACAAGCTGATGGGCAGAGGTGCTAATGCCTTGGCTGGCTCTGGTCAGAAAAACTTCTCAGTAGATGTAGACTGAGCTGCTTTGTTTTGCTCTAATTCCAATTCTCCCCTTTTTGCTTGGCATATGAAAAAAGCTTTCTAGCTGCCAGCCTTGCAAATTCACCTTGGTATCTGTAAGTCAGACTCTGTTCTCTCCTGCTTATTTATAATCAATAGTAACTGTGACTCAGCTCTGGTAGTCATGGTGCAGTTGAAGACGGAAAGTGGGATTGCCATTTTTAGTTTTCTTCCCCTCCCCCTCTTTTTTTTTTTTTTTCTCTTTAAACTTTCAAATCATCCTCCACCTTTGTTTGAAAGAATGAAATAGACTTTATTCATACATGCTTGGCTGCTCTTCCTCTCTAGTAACATGGGAGGAAACAGTCTGCTGTTCAAATTATCTCATCCCAGATGGCTGCGCAGCCGGAGTGTGGAGAGACTTAAAAGGTAAACCCAGCAGATGGTGAACTTCTGAAACGCCAAGTAATGCTCCTGCTAAATCAAAAGTTTAAAATATTTGAAATCTGTTTGTTTTAAAGTAGTAGACTGTTGCAGACAGGTCATCTGTGAAGTACACTGGCAGTTTTAAGCATGGTCCAAATAAACCTGTATCATGGGCTAGCTGACCTACCAAAGAACGTGACTAGCAAGTAGCCAGCCTGAAGACTTCAGTCCTGACCTCCTAGTGGTACCTAATGGGTAACGTTTTAGAAGACAGACCAGTATATAGAGACCTAATCTGCATCAGTCGTGGTTGGGATTTGAATGCTGGTGGTGCTTCTGGTACGATACATGTACCCTGACTTGGAGTAGATATGGGTGCCCGACTCTTCCTGAGGGTATCCTGTGGATCCTAAACATGCTTCTTAGACTTGGAACCGCAGCATTTGTGGTAGTAAAGTGTTGGAGCTTTTACAAATACAGTATACACAGGGCTTCATTTTGCAGTGCTTGGTACGCTGACCGTCTATTATGCTGGTTTTCACTCTGGTGGCAGAAAAAGCTACATTTCACTGCTGGTGATCTTCTATACTTATGGTGAATGCTTTTCTCGTGCAGGCTGGTGGCTGAAACCTGTTCCGTATTTTGATATTTATTGAGGAGAAATGATCCAAGTTTAATGTAGGCCTGTATTTAGTAAAATGCACTTCACTGTATCAATTGCTAGTAATTCCTAGCCTAAAAAAGGTAAGTTGTCTTACACGTGTGCTATGTGCCATTTTTCTGGTGAGGTGACCTCTAATTTAAAGGTGTTTCCATTTTTAGCTAGTCCATATAGTTTCCAATTATTTCTGTTAATGCTGTTTGTTATGGTAGATGTTTAACACCTGGCTTTATCATGCTCTTTCTACTTAAGGTTAAAGTGAATTATCAGGCCCTAAAAGGACCCAAAGTGCTTTATTATGTTGGGTTTTTTTGACATATACTAAGCTCGCTATCTTCTTGATCCCCTTTTGACAGCAAACCTTTCATGCCAAGAGATGTAGGTCCTCATGATGGTTTACGCACTCAGGTTTTAAGCTTATGATTGGTTTTGTTTGAGTCAGAGCATGAGGCAGGAAAGAAAAGTGATGTTGTTCTGTCTGATACTGGAAACTGTGAAAGGTGACATATCAATACAAGAAGGACATGGACCTGTTGGGGTGGATCCAGCAGAGAGCCATGAAGATGATGAGAGTCTGGAGCATCTCTCCTATGAGAACAGGCTAAGAGAGTGGGGTTGTTCAGCCTGGAGAAGAGAAGGCTCCAGGGAGACCTTATAACGGCCTTCCAGTACCTAAAGGGGGCCTACAGGAGAGATGGGGAGGGACTCTTTACCAGGGAATGAAGCGATAGGACAAGGGGTAATGGTTTTAAACTGAAAGAGGGGATATTTAGATTAGATATTAGGGAGAAATTCTTTCCTGTGAGGGTGGTGAGACACTGGAACAGGTTGCCCACGGAAGTTGTGGATGCCCCATCCCTGGAAGTGTTCAAGATCAGGCTGGATGGGGCTTTGAGCAGCCTGGTGTAGCGGGAGGTGTCCCTGCCCATGGCAAGGGGGTTGGAACTAGATGATCTAGATGGTCACTTCCAACCCAAACCATTCTATGGTATTTCCTGACAATTACCTACTATACTAATATTGCCTTAAATGAAACATAGAGTAGGAGGATAGGTTTGCAATGCAAAATGAGAAAAAAAGTCTGTTAGGTTTAAGTTGACTAAACTGCATTAACTGCAGTTGGACAGCAATGCAGCAAGGGAGGCATACTGACTTAGGTCAGCAGCTCCAGCTCAAGTTTGAGAGAACTTGGGGTTGAACATGTTTGCTGCTTGTGTCAGCAGCTCTTGTATTAACAGCTCAGGGTAAGAACATTTTGGATTTCTTTTCTTGTCCCCTGGGATTTGTGCCTTTCACAGTTCTTGCAAGGAGTTGGCCTATTCATAGAAATGCACTGACTGGTTCCTTGGAGATTCTTGATTTCTGGAAACTTTTATTCCATGTTCTCAGAAATGCCTCAGCTCTTCCACATAGTGTCTGCAAGTTAGCACATCCCATTTATCTGTGTCCTTTGGTCTTAAAACTCTTCCACTGTCCCACCAGTCCTCTTCCAAAATCATAATTTAAGGTAGTTGTGCTCAGAAATAACTCCTCCTTCATACTGTGGGCCATGACTCCTCTGGAGTTGCTCAGTGGGATGAGACCAATGTGTAGCCCAAACACTTCCACGCTGAGGGGAAGGGTGAGGCTGGAGCAGGGTGCAGAGGGCACTGCAGAAACCCCCTTCGGACAGTGATGAAATAATCTGTTCCCAGCAGAAGCTTCTTCCCGGCCACTGCCAAGAAGCTGGCCTGTTTTTCTGAGGTCTTCTGCTGTTACTGAAATGTATGTTACCCTGCCTAGAATGATTTGATTATTTTAATGGTGTGAATGCAGGTCCCTTTAACAATCTCAGATGCACTAGGACAGCTTGTGCTGCTGAGTTCTTTGGGTCTTCAACCGTGTTCCCATTTTTAACCTGGCTGCTGCTCAGTTTTGCTAGGAGATGCTCCTAGCTCTTCTTTAGGAGAAGGTATGTGAATTCCTGCTTTGTCTACTGGTATGGCCAAAGCTTCTGATGCTGTTCCCTGATACCCCTTTCCCAAGCAGTCTGTGCCTCACAAATAACTTAAATTGTACACCTCGTGTTTCTGTCACCGTTCTCCAAGTACTTTATACCGCGCAGAAGAGGGAGCTTGATAGAGCAGAACATACTGTTCTTAAGCAAGGGTGGGCCATCGATCTTTATATACATCATGTTTTTAGGCTGTATAAAAACTTGGTGGAAAATAACAATGTTTTGTTTGCTTTTTTGACAGCTTCTAATAGCGGTTCAGTGAGACCTCCAGCAATGTATTTAGTATTCAAATTATTCTGTTCACTGTGCGCAGTGTCAACATGTAATTGTGGTGGGGGCAGGCTAATGAAAGAGTAGAGGTAAATCTATCCCACGCTTGTCAGGGAGAAGGTGCTGTAGTGCCTCCAGTCACAGATCTGTCAGTGATTTGCATTAACATCACCGCATCCTTTCGCTAAGTGAGAAGGGGTAACACAGAACCAGAACTGCGGGGCCATTTTAATACATGGTCCCCGTATTTTAGCCTTTATATATCCCAAAGAAAGTAGGTCAGGACCCAAGTTTTATTTACTGATTGGAAAAAATGGGGATTTTGGCAACACAGTGATCCTTAGTACTGTCTTACAGGAAAAAAGTGTCATCATCTCAGCTAGAAGTACTTCTGTTGGCTATGCTGGTGTATTCCTGTTTCAGCAAGTGTTAAACAGATACAGCGCTGCCCAAAGCTGAAGTCAACAGCAATTCCCCAGACTTCCTTGTTTAAAGCACATTAAGCAGAGTTCACCAAGAGTGCGTGTTCTTGTACCGGGCCCACTGTGGTGGTTTTGCATGTTCACAGTAGAATTTCTATCATTACAGGAGTGCAGGGAAGAGGTCTGAAGGCCTTCTGTCCCTTTGGAGAGGTTTTGTGTGCACAAAAATGCCCTCAAGAAGATGGAGTAGGTAAACGGTATGCACTTTGGGAGGTTCATCTGTCTGCAGAGCAACCCTCCAATGTGACAAAAGGAAAAGGCACAGTGGTTTCTGCAGTTTGCCATACATAAAAGCAGTCGTTATGTCAAAGTTCTCCAGTCTAGTAGTACAGAGCAAGCTGGGCTTCATCCCACAGTCCCAGCATATGAGGAACAGGTATGTTTTCTCTCATGTTCCTGAAGCAGCAGGGCAATTTAAACAGGTCTGTTCTCTCCCTTGCTGTTTTCAGCCTCTCTGTGCTTTTGTGTGGCTACCTCGGAAGTGAACTTGAGCCATTCTGTTCACACAGCTGCTTTCATCTTGCTGCTAACAGTGAAAGTGACACTGTGCCACCCTGTGTCTGGTAGGAAAAAGTCACCTCATCTAAACTATCTTTAGAATAGGGAAGGCTGTCAGGAATATAAAGAAAAATAGTCAAACATTGTGACAAAAACTATTTTTAATTTAAGACAACTTATTTATGAGTCAGTTTGCTGATTCCCCTCTGTTTTGGGAGCACAGGTTATTGTACTCCTCTGGACTGACTGAGTACTGTGAAAGAACTTCTAGAAATTCTTCAAGTGGGCAGAGACCTGCTCTACATCCTTTCACCAGTTGTTCCTGTAAAGGCAAAGAGACAAAATCACACGTCTCGTGCATTGCAAAAGCCCTTTTTTTTTTTTGCTGATACTGATGCATTCTGCAGCAGGGAAATAAGCTGGCTGAGGAAGAGAGAGGCAGAGGTTCAAAGTCTTTGCCGAAACTCCCACTAGGTCAATAGCCAGCTCAACAGAAAAGATACCTTGGCTACCATGGATATGCTTTAGGTGGCTGACTGTTATCTGGCTTGATGCCAAGACTTGAAACAAGTCTTGGTTCACAGCTTTACATGCATGCACAGCAAAACCAAAAGCCCAAGGTTTAGTAGATGGGACTTCTCCTAGGACCTTACCTTTCCACAGTAAGACACGCGAACAAACCACTCTTTGGTCTGCTGGTGCTGGTACAATTCCAGGATCATATCTGCAGCGTAAGGTGGCCACTTGTGATCAAAGGTGCCCAGTGCCACCAGGAGAGCAGTGAGGGTAATGTCATGAGAAGCATAGAGAATGAGCTTTCTGGTTAAAAAAAGGAAGGGGAGAGGATAAAACCATAAAATGTTAGCTGTGTTCCTCCATGGACAGCCAGATACTCGTGCTACATCTGAGTCTCAGGGCTGGTGTCTCAATTTCACAGACTGCACGCTGCACATACAGTCTGCCTCAGCAAAAGCAAATACGGCACTCATGCTTTCCCTAGCAGATGAGCACACCTCTTTACTCACACGTTCATCGTTTTTTGAACCAGCTTTTCATACTGACAGCAAGTCAGAATTTGTAAGGATCAGGGGAGAGATTTATCCTGTACCTGGCCTTTTCAGCTGGAGATGAGGGATCTACTGCTTCTGTAATGTTCTTCTGTAAGGTATAGAAAAGAGGACCAACGTTCATCTGAAGAACTTCTCTATAAAGGAAGCAGAAATAAATTCCTAGGTTTTAAACTTTCAAATTAAATAATTTTAAATGAACACCTGGGAACCCGCTTTTCTCTTATGAATTGGTAACATATATTGAGTGTAACTAAGATGTAATTCCTATGGTTACTTCTTATTTCAGCAGTTCCATAGCCACCTCAGCGATTCTGATGTGATTGCAGATTGGGAGGGGAGAGGTGTTAACAAGCAGTCTCATGAGGTGTGGCCTACATAAAGGAAAACCTAGAAACTCCTCCATGTTCTCTATGCTATTTTGTTTCCCTGCTTGTGATTTTTGGATGCATAGTTTTCAGTTAGGGAAGATGACTGTAGCTGACTGCAAAACAGCAACCGAAGTGGTTGGTCCTTGGCAGGAAAGGGAGGGAGGGAGGGACTCAAGATGGTGGTGGCTATATTTAAAAAATTAGTTTTTATCTCTGTATTGAATGAAGAGGAGATCTTTAGACAACTTCTGGTGTGAAGAAATTCCTTCTACCTAATGTATAAATCAGTGGGAATGGGGGATGAGTGTGACTGTGGCTCTCCCAGGTGGTATGGGAGTGGGGGAAATTAGTCTTTCCATAGATGAGATCTCTAATACAAGTTAAAGAAAAGGCTGAGGGCAACTGCCCTAATAGTAAAGGTGGTCCTATACCACCACCTGAGAAGAGCTGGTGAATATGGCAGCTGTGAATGAATCTGAAAGGAAAATGGCAGCTAGGCTAGCAACTCAGCCACCTTTCCAAACAACTGTGGAGGAGGTAATTAACTGCATGTAGCAGCAGATTGTTTTGCAAGTAGTTACATGTGTGCAGGGCCTGGCATCACCTTTTCCATTAGTATCAACACTTCTCAGCCCAGCTCTGCAGGCGCCATCCCTGGGATAAGCTTCCCAGGCTGGAATCCAGATTGTAGCTGTGTGTCTGCAAGGGCAGCCTCAGTGCTCTGGCTGGAAGGGTCTCCTCTTCTGCTTTTGCCTTTGACACAGGTTCACTTAAACCACCGTGGCAACTGAGGCGTTCACTGCCTACCTCAGTGGCTTACTACTGCTCCTTGGACCAGGAGGTAAGCCCACATCTTGGCCTCCTCAGTGTGGAACTCCCTCTTCCCTAGCTCGTGTTCCTGACTCAAGGCACTGGATTTTACACTGAGATGGCCAAGGCACAAACCTCATGAGGGGGCAGTAGCCTCTGGTGGGGGAATGCAGGAGATCAGAAAGGACTTCTCTCTGCTGCAGTAAGCTGGTGTAGCTCACCCACGCTGGGAAACTTAAGACAATCCCTAAGGCTGGAGGCATGGATACGGGCAATCACCTTGAATCGACTTCCAGAACGAAAAGCAGCGAGTCCACAGCTCGACGCTCAACTGTCTGCTGAAAGTTCTTCAGCACAGGGCAGCTTGGCAAATTGTGCACCTGGAAGGAGAAGATGCAGCATAACAATAGGGTTTGCCCCTTTCTGAACCCAGCCTGAAAACGCATGGGTGACTGCCCACAGAAAACAGCTGTTTGTGTCACAGCACTTGTACTACAGTATCCATGTGAGGAGTCCCAGGACGGTTTTAAACACACAGACTTGCTCCGGGTACCAAGAGGATGGACGTTTGCTCTTGAGGGAGTGTAACACCTTGAGCTATTCAATCAACAGCCAGACTAATTACCATTAGCTCCAGCAAATAAGAGGTACTAAGTGGGCTACAAATATGAGCAGGTCCCTTCTGGTAGCAGAAGCAATCTGGCTGATGGGTAGCATGCTGGAACCGGGATCAAGACAACTCTGTTAGGTGGTGACTGCCAGAAAAGGGAAAGCACTTTGTAATGGGGTAAGCAAGGGCCAACTGCTTTCTTAGCTCTACTTCATTACACTTGAGATACTGGATTTCAAGCTAAGAACATAAATACTGGAGATGAGTCTTCATCCATCCTAGAGCAAGTCTGACTCCACATCTTGCCTTTTAAAAAGGCCATGCTTTGTCCTCTATGAACTTTCTGGTATCAGTGGGTGTTGGCACTCCGTGATTTCTTCCATATGCGTGGTAAAGGGATGTTTCTTTCTGTGACAGCACAACAGAACTGCTCAGCTCACCTGCTCAGCAAAAATGTTATCATGGAGGAGAAAAAAATCCACAGACTTCTCACCATCAATACCCATCTTCTCCTTAATTGTTTTCAAGTCATCAGAGATACCCGGCTGGTGCAGAGCATTCTTCCACTTATGCCTGTCAGGAAATTAAGAAAACAAAACCAAACCTCTTCACACATCAGACTTTCTGTCCTTTGGATTTTGTGACCCCAGCCCAGTGGAATTGTCTCACATCAGTGAGGGGTAGAAGAGAAGCACCACAGGGATGATACTGAGGGATTCCTGATGTTGGGAGTCTAAGTTACAGAGCGGACAGATGCTATGTCTAGATGTCAAGGATCAGAGCTGGCTGGCTGCTCTCACAGAGGCAGGAGAAAAAATTAAGATGAGATGTGAACACCTCAGAAGTGGTTCTCCCATAAGCAAGAGGTGTGTATCAGTTAACAGATCTGGTCATACTGGAACAGTACAGATCTGTGTCTTCAGGGAGTAGCCTTTAACTGCCTATGAAAGAAGAATGGATAGAAGCTTTGAACTGATTGTTGTATGGTGTGGGAAAAGGGAAACACCTAGATATTCCTCGTAGCTTAAATTTGCCTCCCACTTTGTTAGAAGCCGTTCACCTCCTTACACTGTTTTAAATTTTATTTTTAAAAGTTTAGCTGATAATATCCACACTGGTCATGTACTTCAAGCAAAATAGGTTGCATAGGTTTTGTTTTCTCTGACCCTGATCTGTTGGGAAGGAGATGGGAAAAGTTTAAGTTTGCTTTTTATTTTTTTAGGAACAGCTCTAGTTTCTGTTTGAAAAATGCGTTATAAGTTCTGGTATGGGCAGCCTGTAAGCTGAGGCAGTGCTTCTTATTGCAGTTTAAAAAAATCCCCTCAACATGGTCACAAAACACACCCAGTTGGTGGGCTGAGGGGAGGGAGCAGAAGAGCTTGCAGTTCACTCCCTTTTTGCACAGTTGATGTTACTAGAGGAGGCTGAATGTGCTGCTTCTATGGTCTGTCACCTTACCACTGTCAAGAACAACCCTTTGCCTGCAGAGTCAAGCCTTATATAATGAGCTTCTGCAAGTGAATTCTGACAACTCCTGAATTTTGGACAAAAATATGTTAATGTACAATCCAATCAAACTGTAATAAATTTGCCCCCCTTGTCCAGTTTCTACCCTATGCCCAACCTCGCACAGGCATTTAGAGTACCTGACTCTGCAAACATGAGTGTTCTTACTATGTAGGGTGTTCCTTATTTTACTTCATTAGTCTTTGTTAAGTGTGTTAAGGCTGAGTATATCTCAGTTTCTTCAAGGTATAAATGTGACAGGAATGTTGTAATAACGCCCAAACCAGAAGCTGAATATAAAAAGGAGGCCTAATATGTACATACTTGAGAGGCTGGTTAAAGGATGCAGATGACATTAATTCTGCCCTGCAGCGATGCTGCAGAATAGCTGTACATTAGCTAGTAATGAGCGTTTGCTAGACAGATACTAAATTAAATTGGTCTTCCAAGAAAAAGTCTATTTTTTTTTCCTCTGGTGCCGCTGCTTGGTATGACTCCGCTCACTGAGTATTTTATACAACTAGCTAACCATTCCCAAAGAACGGTAAGTGGCAGGGGAAGAAATTGGGAAATGGGAATAAAACGTGCTGTTTTAAATTACTACTGCTGAAATGAAACAGCAGTGAAATCGTAGGGGGAGGTAGGGCTGGCAATTACCTGCTCAAGCATTTCAGGCGCTGGCAGTTGTTGTAATTGGGGTAGAGGATGTCAGAGTTTGCTTCATCGGTGACAATGACAACAGATCCTGTGGAATGAGAAGGAAGCTTCTGTGATCACTAGTGCATCTGGGTGTCTTTAGACTGGTTTAATCATTCTCACAGTCTTTGTCCTCCAGTCCATTGCTGTCAACTAGCACTTCCCCCTGAGCCATCACCTGCAACACGAGCCACTGTGCTTTTTTCTGTGCACACAGCATTTAATTCCACAGGGATGTCTGCTGTGCACCTTGTAAAACTCTCAGTTGCGTGTTCATATCTTGTTTGTACATGACAAAAATTAGTTTCTATGTTGCGAGGTAAGGAGCTCTGGCAAGTCACTTTTGCCGTTTGTTCCTGGAACAGAATACAGAGGGAGCAGAATCGTGATCTTCAAAAGCCAGAGCGTATTTCTAGGACATACAAGGAGTTGTCAACTGTAGGATACAGCTGAAAGTTACTCCAGATACCAAACTTGTCAAGGATCTTGGTAGTCCTATGGCTGGGATACTTGGGTTTCTCTGAGAAAATTTTTTCAGATGTGCATCTCGTGAACATTGGGTCTGAAACTTAGCCCTCTTGATTCTGAAGCAGGATAATGCTAACCTCCTCAGTAGGTTTGAAATTGCAGCATTCATGGCAACAGATCCAAGCTGAGCATCAGCAGAAGGCTACACAGAGAGAAGGAACAAGCGCCGAGTTGATAAAGAACATAGAAGCAGGAGAGCATGGGGAAGAAGGCCAGGAGTGAAGAACTGGGGAAGAAGTAACACCCAGGAGCCAAGAGTGAGTTAGGATGTGCGAGATACGTGCATCTAGGGAAGACTGAGAAAGGAAAGGCACTGGTCAGAAGCCTCCCCAACCTTCTTTCTGCTGTTGGTACAGCCCAGCTAGCAGGCACCGTGTGGACTCCAGATTCCGGAAAATATTAGTGGAACGGATGCTGAAAGAGAGAAAGGAGTTTGTGAGGGAGCACTTTCTCCTTCATGCGGTCTGCTTTCACTGTGGCTTTGGAAACTTGTGGTGGGATTCATCTGGCCTTGAAAAAATAGACACCTGTATCTGAACTGCCCTTTAACTTCCCTTCAGAGACGGTGGTGATAAAAAAAACAAAAACAACACACCGGAGAGGTACTAATTTGTTATCTCATCCTGAATCAGACACTCCCAGCATTACTGACATAAGCGGCAGAGGTGTACTTTGGTCTCACTGAACTTCAGCTATGTAACCTACAGTGAGTTAAATTGTACTTCAGAAATACCTATTTCTCTTCACTCACCAGAAAGATGCAGACTACCACTGTCAGTGGCTTAAAATCACAAATCTTCTAGGTTGGAAGGGACCTCAAAGACCATCTTGTCCAACCGTCAACCTAACTGACAAAAATAGACACCCACACAACAAACAAAAAGCATCACCATCACTAAACCATACCTCCCAGCACTACATCAACCCGTCTTTTGAACACCTCCAGGGATGGTGCCTCAACCACCTCCCTGGGCAGCCCATTCCAATGGCTGATAACCCTTTCAGTGAAAAAATTTTTCCTAATATCCAGCCTGAAAAAAGTAGGGTGAGATGAATCTTTCCCCGGCGTCCCTCTCAAGACTGCTGGGAAATTGGATGCTTTCTATCAAAGGTGAATTCTAGTACTGGGCATGCCAGGCTAAGCAAAGATGAAGGCCCAGGGACCAGCCAGTCTGCTATACAGCAGAGGTGTGTATGCTGGTCAGAAAGTTTCCCTAGCAGAGGGCTACTCATTAGGAGGGAAGAAGCAGGGGAAGGTCCAGAAGGGAAATGAGACTCACAAAACCTCAGCAGGCCTAAGTGTTGGTGAGAGAAAGTTGGCTTCTTCCACGTAGCTTCTCCTCAGCCTTTCCCCCAGGGCAAACATCTGCTGCATCCCTACTGTTGTCAGCTGTCCTGCAATTGCACCACCCTAAGCGCAAAGAAAAGGAAGGGTCTCCAGTGGACTGTGGAAGTAAACAAGGGAGGGAACATGAAACCACCATGAAAGACAGCCTCACCTTGAATGTGGTCTTTTTGTATCGCTCCTCATGGGGCGAGGGAGGCTGAGGCCCTCCATTGAGGTCAGTCACCATGTAATCAAACTTAGTCTGGGCAGGCACATCTAAAAGACTGGGGTGCCATTCCACCTGCTTAGAAACAAAAAGAACTAACATCAGTGGAAAATGAGGACTTTCAAGAGCATTACTGTTATACTCGTTACAGTGTGCTGCTCTGCCAATAACACAGCACGGATCCAGACAGAACCGATCTCTTCCTACGGCACATACGGGAAGTGATAGGACAAGAGGATGGGCATAAACTTCTACATAGGAAGTCCCATCTAAACATAAGGAGGAACTGTTTCAGAGGGAAAAAATGGAAGAAAACAAAACCACAGATGGTTTCTTCACAGCCCAGAAGGCCAACCATATCTTAGGGCTGCATCAAAGGAAGTGTGGCCAGCAGGTCGAGGGAGGTGATTCTGCCCCTCTGCTGAAACTCCACCTGGAGTACAGTGTTCAGCTCTGGAGCACCCAACATAAGAAAGACATGGACCTGTTGGAGCAGGTCCAGCGGAGGGCCATGAAAATGATCAGAGGGCTGGAGCAGCTCTCCCATGAAGACAGGCTGACAGAGTAGGGGTTGATTGAGGGTGTCAGAGCACTGGAACAGGCTGCCCAAGGAGGTGGTGGAGTCTCCATCACTGGAAACATTCAAAACCCGCCTGCACACGTTCCTGTGCAACCTGCTCTAGGTGGACCTGCTCTGGCAGGGGGGGGGTGGACTAGGTGATCCCCAGAGGTCCCTTCCAACCCCATGTCATTCTGTGATTGACAGGAGCGCTGCAGCTTGGAGAGGAGCCTGCAGGAAATCGGTATGAAAAAAGCGCTGAAGAGCCTCTTTAGCAAACTAGGGGAACCAGCACCTGCCGGCTCAGCGGGCTGCCGGGGGGGGGGGGACGGATGGGTCCCGCCGGTCGTTCGGCTCGGCGCCGGCTGCGACGGGGCCTGAAAGAGCCGGGGCTTGTGCGCGCCGGGACCCCAGCTCCGGGGGCAGCCACAGCGGGGACCCTTCTCCCTGCCGGTCCACTTTAACTCCCTAATTCCCAACGCCTTCCCCCCAAAATTTACAGTGGGCAGTCCCCAACCCCCCCAGCTCCCGGCCCCTCCTCACCGGCGCCGCCCCCGGCAGTGGCCGCAGCGGGGTGCGCGCCCCATGCCGGAACACCACCTGCACCAGCTTCAGCTCCAGGCCCCGCCGCTCCCCGCCGCCCTCCTCCGGGGCGCCGCCAGACGCCGCCGCCCGCCGCCGGCCCTGCGCCCATAGAGCTAGGCTCCCCAGGACGCCCAACCGCGTCCCCCAACCCATGGCGGCGGAGCTCTCGCTGCCGGCGGCGCGGAGGCGGACGGGAAGCGCAGTCCCGTCGGCGGTGCCGGGTAATGGCGGCGCTCGGAGGGCGGACTACAGCTCCTAGCGGGAACCGCGCCGCGGGGGCGGGCGGGCCGCGGGGGCCGCTCTGCGCATGCGCGGGGTGGGAGGGGCCTGTGGCGGCTCCGCCTTGAGGCCGCCGCGGTGGAGCAGCGGGGGGTTGTCTCTGGCCTTGATGTCTCCTCCTCCTCCTCCTCTCTCTTTTTTTTCCTTTTGTAATTTCACGTTTCCGTGGAAGGCGGCCAGGCGGGCGCTCCCTGCGGGCCGACTCAGCGGGTGCCTGTCTGCGCCTTCCCGAGGTGTGTCTGTGGAGAAGTCCCCACGGAATCACAGAACGGGTTGGCTCGGAAAGGAGGACCTTCAAAGGCCACCGAGTCCAACCCTCCTGCAAGGAGCGGGGGCATCTCCAGCCAAATCAGGTTGCCCAGAGCCCCGTCCAACCTGACCTCGAATGATTCCAGGGGTGGGGCCTGTGCCAGTGTTTCACCACCCTCTTTGTGAAAAATGTCTTCCTTATATCTAGTCTAAACCTACCCACTTCTAGTTTAAAACCCCTTGTCCTGTCACAACAGGTCCTGCTAAAAAGTCTCTCCCCATCTCCTCTTTGTGAAAAATGTCTTCCTTATATCTAGTCTAAACCTACCCACTTCTAGTTTAAAACCCCTTGTCCTGTCACAACAGGTCCTGCTAAAAAGTCTCTCCCCATCTCTCCTATGGCCCCCCTTTAGGTACTGGAAGGCCACTGTAAGGTCTCCCTGGAGCCTTCTCCAGGCTGAACAACCCCAACTATCTCAGCCTGTCCTCATGGGAGAAGTGCTCCAGCCCTCTGATCATTTTCGTGGCCCTCCGCTGGACCTGCTCCAACAGGTCCATGTCCTTCTTACATTGAGGGCTCCAGAGCTAACACTGTACTGCCGGTGGAGTTTCAGCAGAGGGGCAGAATCACCTCCCTTGACCTGCTGGCCACACTTCTTTTGATGCAGCCCTAGGATATGGTTGGCCTTCTGGGCTGTGAAGAAACCTTCTGTGGTTTGGTTCTCTTCCATCTTTCCTCTCCGAAAGCACATTTGGCCACCAGAGTGGTGTGATTAGGTGGAAGAGCCTGTGCTGGTGCTTACCAGCGCATTGAATTTAGTAGAGAGGGAAGAGCCTGCAAGGAGGGAGAAGGTCCCTGGATTCCTCCCCATCTGGCTGCTAGTGCCCTCCTGTTAACAGCTGTTGATTAAGAGGGAAAGTTTGTGGGGGGGAGGATGCTGTGTTCAGCTCAACTCTTATATGGAACAGCCAGCCCTATGCAGTGCTTTGGTCTTTTAGTCCACCTGTGTGGGTGTTGCATAAGTAGCAGAAGAAATTTGCCTCCCATCTGTATCTAAATGACAACATTTTGCTGACAGAGAGTAGAGCTTCTTAATCCTGTAGCTTGTTTATCTCCCCACCTGTACTCGATCACCCCGTTAACCTCACCAGCAAAGATTTGCAGTTGGTGTTAACGGTGGTGCTGGCATTTTCCACTGTGAGTTTGCTAAATGAAGTCTTTTTCACTTTAGATGCCCAGGTGCAAACACCTAGTCTCGTCTGGCCTCTATTTCCCATCACAGCTTTGGGAACCAACACAACACTGGCATTGGCAGGGCTGGAGATGAGCTGCAGCAGTGAGGTGGGTGAAGGTATAGTCCTCCCTACATAGCTGACCTGATGTCACTTGGAGGGGTTCAGGGTAACGTTGGAGCTGCCTCTTGGCAGCCCCTGGCAGCACTCGGTGAAGCTGTCACACGGTAAATGTGAACCCAGTGCCTGGAGGTGCACGTTCCACTCCTTGTTTCTTCAAACTGTTGCTTCTCCTTTCCTGGTAATGCTGTGGAGGAACAGTGGATCTGTACAAATTAACTCTTAAATGTTATTTAGCGTCTTTTTAGCATACTGGCTAATAACTTTAAGTAAAAGCTAGAGAGCTGGGCATTCATAAAGCCTTTCTTGGACATTATAAAGGAATCGATGGGTTCCTGACTCGGTGGTTCCTAGGAATGGTTCAAGGCTTGGTGGTGACATCACTCTTGCATAAGTAGTTTATCAGGGAATAAGCAGTTCCTTGTTCCTTAGACCGCATCTGCTTGACTTACATTTATTAGGGATGGCTGTGTTCCCCCTTGCCTGCCATCCTGCCTCCATATGTATGTTATAGGCCCCAGTATTCCTTTTCTTATAGGCTTGGGTCTCTACTTTAGCCAGGATGTCTTTATCCTTCCCCTTTCTTCCCACTTGTGCTGATGGTTCTTGGTGCCCTCCTTTCTGTCTCACCCCCATTTCTCTTTACTCTTTCAGGGTATCAACATTTTAAAACTCTCCAAGGAGATCAGGGAAAGTTTTACAGAAATTTGGGGCATTGATAGAAGCTATCAAAGTTATTTTTCTGTCTGTAAAGATCAGTTCTTTATTTTGCCCATAGACAATTGCAGACCTGACTGCATTGCACTCTCTGTCCCTCTCTTTCTTTTATTCCTGTTTGGAAGCAGGTGCTGTCTGTTGGGAGCTGGAGCACTCCCTGAAACGCTGGGACTGTTGGAAAGTGATCTTTGAAAGGTACCCCACCAGAAAAATGCCATGAAGACAGGGCCAAAGGGAGTGTCTACAGTAGATGAGGCCTTCAGGAAAGCTACTGAGTAGAGACTACTGAAGGGAGGTGTTGGTGTCTCTGGGCCCTCATGAAGTGCCTACAGTTCATTACAAGAGTAAAAGAGTCCCGCCTGTGCTTCATTACTGCCCTAGTTTGGAGTATCCTTTCTTCTGGGGAAGGTATTGCCTTTATTTCTAAGACTTTGTTTCCTGCTTGGTCGGAAATGTTCAGGTGTGTTGCCTGCCTGGACTCTGACCTTTCTGGTATCTGCGCTTTTCCTTTGGTCTGTTGCCAATGTCACGCCCTGGGTGACACAGAGGGTGAATGTCAGAAAGCTGTACCTGACACTCGATTCTGGGGCTGACATCACAGCTGCTGGCCTGGCATCAGCAGCCCTCTACACCAGCAGAGACCCTTTGCTTGTCACCATTGAATTAAAAAATTCAGCACCTACAGTAGGTGCTGGCAGCCTGTAGGCTGCCTGTGCTGTCTGGGGCCAGCTGGGACAGTGAGGATGAGAAGACACGGTGTCCCTGTCCTCAGTGTACCCTCCTGTCCCATCTACCTCTCCTTGGCTCCCAACTGTCATAGAACCACAGAATGGTTTGGGTTGAAAGGGACCTCAAAGATCACCTAGTTCCATCCCCTCTGCTATGGGCAGGGACATCTTCCACCAGACCAAGTTGCTCAAAGCCCATCCAACCTGGCTTTGAACACTTTAACATCTTGAACACTGTCCCACTTTCCATTTTTTCTACTTCAGGCAATTAAAGAAATCCTGGAAAGAGAGACAAGACTGTTTCTTGCGATGTTGCCCCTGCAAGAAAGAGGATCCCTGTGTGGATACAGGTGGCACGAGTGCCCAGCAGGTCTCAGGCTGGGAAAGCAGCTCAGCCCAGGCTGAATGAGCGAGCCTGTAAACATCCGCTTGGCAGACCCAGGATCTCCTGCTCCCAGGGGGGACTCACTGGAAACTCATCTATGACCCTGTCACCAGGGCGTCTCGGTGCTTGCCAGACTTTCAAGGCAAGTATCCTCAAACCATTCTGGAGTACAAAAACCACGTTACAGATAGAAATCTGTGGCAAAGACAACTGAATAAGTTGCCTTATGTTGGGAGAAAGACCTGGTTCTAGAAACCAAGACCCTGGTCTGTCAATTCTGAGGATGCCTTTATCTGTCCCTTAGGAGCAGTGCCCAGCATTGATTCAAGCAGATCTCATAGGACCTCTGGTTGGAGGGGTGGTGGCAGGAGGCACCAGAGGAGTCACAGGCAGCTGATGGGTGCAGGGACTAGGACAATGGTGAAAGAGCAGTAGGGGAGAGAGGGTGGTGACCTGCACAAAGGCCAGAGGGAGGAACTGCTGCAGGTGGTGAGAGGTTGGCACAGCCACCAGGACATGTGGATGGGGGAATTTGGTGATGATCTGGTGTCTCTCAAAGCAGTGCTGTTCTGAAAGGGTTACTTCAGTTTGCCGAGATTAGAGTATACGAAACGCAGAGGCGCAAACCAGAGCAGAGAGAGAAGGAAAAAAATATTTCAGAAGCCAAGAAAATAACAAATGGAGGAATCAAGCCTAAATCTTGTGTTGTGGGAGGGTGAGGGGGACAAGGATGCTGGAGGGAGAGGGAATAGGAAAATATTGTCAGTGGGAGGGAGGGAAGGAGGAAGAGAGCGAGAGGTGAAGTGATATAAATGAGCAGAGGTGGAACATGGAAAGAAGGTCACAGTGAATTCATTTCAATTTCCATTCAAATGTTACCCTGGGAAAAAAACCCAGTTCGTGTGAAGCTGTGAAGACTGGGACTGCAGGGTTCCTCCTGGGGAGACTTGGCTGCTGCCAAGCAGCATTACTGTTGAGATATATTTTAGAATATACCATGCCACAGCAGGTGCATGCAATTAGAGGAGAGCTTTCCAAAATAGCAGGCGGCTGTCAATTTTTTAGCAAATGGTGTTGCCCTTTTTTTTCCTTTGTCCAACTGTGTAGAAATTTATTCTAAGATGCATCGTCTTTACAGAAACATTTTCAAAGGACCCGTTATTTTTACCCTTCTGTTGCTTTTTGTGACCAGACGAGGAGCAGAAGGCTATTCCAATGGCCATTGTGGGTGAGCTTTGTTTCACTAGCTTTAGTTAATGAACAAGCAACTTTCAGGAAACCTTCCTTTCTGAAAGCAGAGGGCTAATTTCCTCCTGGCTGGAATTTAACCAAATTACCACGATTGCTACCTTTGTAAAGTATTACTATTGCTATCATTTGCCTTTTTATAGTATTTCACAAATGTATCATGCCTTAGAACACTCCTATATGGTAAGTTTGCCTTTACATCCCTATTTTCTACATTGATAAGGTATGCGAATGACTATCATGATGATATTTTTGTTCCATG